CTGAATTGACTGAGTATGTGTGTTAATCTGTATTCTATCTGTTTGATTGTTTACTTGATCTGTTCATGTTTTATGTTCAAACTGCTAATTGGAGGTCTTATCGGCGGCCGAGCCGGGAATTGATTGATGTTTTATGATCATTGTAATTTATGTGATTTTATGGTATAGTTATCTGAAAATTGATCTGGTATGATTAAATTAGATTAAAATGAGCCAATTAAAGAGTTAGGCTTAATTACTAAATTACCATCCTAGTGGGTCACTTACTTAATACTTTGAGGACTCATTCTTATGCATTACAAAACATTTACTCAGCTCATTCCTTGCCTTTGCCAACCAGAGAGAGAGAGATAAGGGAGAGAGTTAGATTTCATCTCACTTTGCTTGGTCTTGCTTGGAAATTAAGACGATTGAAGTATAAATTTGCATAATTGAACTTCCTTGCCTATAATTCAAGACTTAGGTAAGAGAATTTAATCTTCTAGTAATGTATTTGAACTTGTTCATGCTTAGTTCTCGAGCCTCTAGTGATTTGAGCCTTGATTGGTCCATGTATGTTGAATTGGAGCCTAGTTCATTCATGCATGCCTTCATTTTGAAGTTTTGAAATTGTCTTTTATAAAAATTATACATGCATGCTCATATCTTTACAAGAGACCATGAACTCATCATGTTTTTGAAAGATTTGGCTCACTAGAGCATGAAATTGAAGCTTTGAAATGGTTTGAATTCATGCATGTTGCATGTTCATCCTGTTCTTGAAAATGGTTTGAAATTGAGTTTGAATTAAACACCATTGGGCTTTGATTTCTCAAATTGAGCTTTGAACCATGTTATTCCATGTGTTTACAAATGTTTTCTGGAAATTCAGCCCAAGAGGTCGAGTTTTGAGTTGTTAAAACTTGGTTTTTGACTTGGAGGTGCAATCTGGGTTTTCCAGATTTTGCACCTCCGCTCGAGCGGGGACTAGTGACGCTCGAGCGTGGAATCCGAGCATCCAGTATTTTCTCTGCACTGTTTTACAGTCCGCTCGAGCGGAGGATTGGGCGCTGGAGCAGAGGCATGTGTCTCACGATCGAGCGGGCGTCGAGCGTCCGTCGAGCGGAGATTTCACGGAAATTCAGCCCAAGAAGTCGAGTTTTGAGTTGTTAAAACTTGGTTTTTGGCTTGGAGGTGCAATCTAGGTTTTCCAGATTTTGCACCTCCGCTCGAGCGGGGACTAGTGACGCTCGAGCGTGGAATCCAAGCATCCAGTATTTTCTCTGCACTGTTTTACAGTCCGCTTGAGCGGAGGATTGGGCGCTCGAGTGGAGGCATGTGTCTCACGATCGAGCGGGCGTCGAGCGTCCGTCGAGCGGAGATTTCACCCATCCAGTACTTTTACAGTACGCTCGAGCAGGAAAGTTGACGCTCGAGCGTGTACCTTTGTTGCATGTCCGCTCGAGCGGGACTCTGTGCGCTCGAGCGGAACTCTGTTTCTTAGTGTGTTCAATCTGTTAACTGTGTAGGGTTGGCGACTGGGGAGGCACGCTCTAGCATACTGTAGCCCAACCTCTGTGAGTAACAATTGTGTAAAGATATGTTCAACTGATTATCTTTTGAATACTGAACTGAACTGTTTACTGAACTGGTATTACTGAATGAATGTATGTCCTTTATTTCTGAACTGTACTGTGGCATCCTTAGTACCTACGGTTTACTGTACTGTTACTGTTACAGCGATCTCTGTCGGTTCCCTCGTGGAGCCACTACTGTTTACTGACTGATGGCCATCATTACTGTTCGGTCTTTTAAGACCTACTGTTACTGTTATGCTAATGGATGTACCACATATGACTGGACTGACTGAACGACTGAAATACTGTTTAAATGGACTGTTTTCATTACTGTAAGGACATTCATTCCTAACCTCTTTACGCATTATGTTATTCACTGGGCTTTAGTTCACTGCTCTTATATATATGTAGGTGTTCAGGCACCAGACCACGGCTAGGAGCGTCAGGGTTACTCCAGTTTTGTCAAGCCAGCCTATGTGCCTCACTGCGAGGTTCCGAGCCTATCTTGTTAAGGCTTAGGGGTGTTTTACAATTCCCCCTTCTGTACTGTCTTACTGTTTTGTGTAGACCGAATGCTTACTGTACTGTGATGTAAAGGGTTGAGTCCCTAGTCTGAATGATTGTGCATTTTGTGCATACTGTTCTGTACTGATTATGTATATATGTATGAAAGTCTTTTTGCATACAGACTGTCACAGCTCATTGGACATTGTTTATTTACTGTTTTGGCTTCCGCCAGGCCCTGTACTCTGTTTTACTGTTCTACTGTCCTGCAGGCCTTCGGTAATCTCAGATTACTGGCCGGTTACGGTGCTAAACCCATAGGGCCGGGTTTGGGTCGTGACAACAGTCTTCTCTTAACATGACTCGAGAAGTAAATACATCCTTATACCATCTAAAATCACTTAAGGTTGGACAGGTAAGATTACTTAGTTGATCATGGATACGAGAATATATATTTGTAGGTGTACCAATAAAATGTCGGACTATGGTATAGATTAATTGATTAATTCCGTCAGGGTGACAACATCCAATAGTTTCATCAAAAATAGGTAGACC